TCTCTCTCTCTCTCTTGCTATTTGTAAACAGGGTTGTTCCAAGTCTCGAGCAAACTGCAGACGCTAAGGGACCAGAAGGAAGTTGTAGAATCCTTGAAAGGAAGGGGCCCAGCTTGTGGCCTACATGCATTAAGAAGCCTCCACGGTCTAATTAGCACCGAAGCAGATGCCCTAAGGACCTGCAAGGATCGGCTTCAGGTTTACCCTGAAGTAGCGCACTGAGCATCTGCCGACATCAGCCAATAGTATACAGCCTAGTTATTTCGTAGGCTTACAGGTATCATAATCCCAAATAGGATCCCCTTTAAGGTACTCTTGAGTCTACTTACTACCTACAACTACTTACTCAGTCCCCCGACCCTCCGAGCATCAGCCGTACTGACAACCAGAATGGAAATAATGACAAGTTTATGCACTCTACAGTGGCCAAGAAGCCGGCAGGTCACAAAGACCTGGCAGATCAGTGCAGCAAGACGACTTCGAAGTGTGCCCTGGCAGGGGATTTCCAGGGCATTGGGTGCAGAGTGAGCCATTCCAGTCATAGTCGCAAGAGCGGAAAAACTCAGTGCTGCGGTGGCATTTCGAAAGTGTTGTCCATCTTCCGGCCTGGATGAGGCTGACACTCAGAGGCTACGGCCTAGACCCGAACATGCCGTGATAATTTTGGTGGGCATAGCGTGAACATGCTACAGATGCTTTCCAGCCCTCTCCTCCGGCCGTGCTGGGCCGCTGGAGATTGGCAACCGGGAGCTGAAAAAACCGGAGAGGACGTTGGGGGGTGGGGGCCGTTTGAACATCGACGCCGTAGAGCCCTTATCTTAACCCTTATCCGGGACTCGGAAAGAGCATACTACCCAAAAAGCTCAGGTCCCATGCCTTGATGACGGTGTCCTTTAACGATACCGATCTCGAGCTGGGCAGCTCGACGGCTCGACATTCTGGCTTTGGGTGATTGTAGTGTTTGAACACACATTTGTTGGATCTTATTTTAGTTTTGCTGGGCTGCTATGAGGTTTTGGGGTTGGGATCGTTACAGGGTCTGCACAGGGCTGTCAGCGAAGTCCTCAAAAGTTTGTTGCTTCTGCTTGAAAGGATTGTTGGTTTTCAGGGTGTATCGGTGGCTTTACAGGGGGGCGCCATCGGCTCTTCCTTTTCCGTTGTGCGCTTTTACAGAGCCTTTGCATCGGGTCTTTATCTGTGACAGATTGACAGTCCTTGACTTGAAGAGAGTAGCATTCCCTATGATCCCTAATACTAATTGTAGCGAAATACGTTTCCAAAGCCCTTATTAAACATGTTCAGGTCCGTTTAGAGATGGCCTGTGTATACGGTCTTTATCTGCAACAGATAGACAGTCCCAAACGAGAGCATGCTTCCAAAGCCCTAGTAAAAGATATTAAGTTGATGGGGTTGAATATTCAGGGCACCTAGACTCGGGTGCCCTCCTGCCCATTTGTAGTTGCTGATGTTGTGCCATTGCTTTCGTCCAGGTGCTGACATGAGCCCGGACACAAGCAATAACGTCCCGGGCAAACAGACCATTTTCCTGATGTTCCGCAACGTGGACCTGGCGTCGGATGCACCGAAGCAGCAAGCCCTGAACCCTAGGCCCCTAACCCTGAACCAAAATGCTGATAGACCCGGAACCCTGAACCCAAACGACCCCTCAGAGTCGTCTGGTAGTCATGGGAGCTGGAGGCGACAATCAACTCTGCCCGTGTCGTCTTCACTGTGGACGGCAGCCTGGCCGTCAATACTCAACCTTTTCAGCTCTTTGGTTCAAGCTTACCAGTAGCTTATTCTCCGAAGGTTTCAACTTGTATTTCCCAGGAGGTTGAGGGTTTGGGGGGTTGGTACTCGCTTCGGTGTTCCGTTCTCTTGGGCTTTTGGGGAAGTAAGGCACCGGCGGCTGCTGCGACAGAGACTTCGAGGTCACGGCCAAGATGGCGTTGAACCCATCCACCCTGAACCTGGGTCTTCCGATGTAGTGTTACATAAACTTTACCTTGGGTTTCCCCTTATTCGTATTCTTATGTGCTGAATAATGGTGGTATTCCTAGCAGTGGACTGATCGTCATTTCCTTTTCTTGCTGCTCTTGGTCTTTGCCAGTACCAACATGATTCTCGCACGGGCCGGGAGCGCGGAGTCTGCGAGCCGAGGAATGTGACGAGTCTTACGGCACCAGCAGCCTTGAACATCTACGAGAATGCATCCACCAATGCCAGCGTGACCTATGTGCCTGATGACCACACCGTCATGGGTGCCGAGGTTGGCAACTCTCGTGAAAAGTATCAAGCACCAATCCATACTGACAACAAAAGTAGGTAGAAGTGAGCAGATGCGAGGTCAGCACTCCGGATTTATCCGCACCTTTGAGGGAGGTCCTTGCTCAGAGCAGCTGGGGCAATTGGGTGCTGGTCATGTTTGGCGACAGCAACTCTACCCGTGGACCGCAGAGCCGGGAGTCTAGTCCTGTCTTGTAGGTTTCAGCTGATGGGCGTAGTTTATAGTGTATTCTAAAGAAAGAGCAACATGTCTCAGTATCAAAAAGCCTACGAAATCGGCCCAGGAGTATGAGACTTTCGACGGAATGCAGCCGGCGCAGGCCGCCAAGTTGGTAGTCGGAACTTGCCAGCTCGCCCAGGGGAGCACGTCTAATGCAATCCCGAGAAGGTCGTTGGGCCTGTTGCTCTTTTCGTTTGTGAGCTTTTTGGCTGTGTGATATAATTACAGTCAAGCCCGCGTCCGGAACAAAGTTCGGACGGGTCCGACTGGCCTCAAAGCCACTACGACTTTTTCTTCAGCTCCTCAGAGCTGATGTGCCATTAAGGCTCGGAAAGCAGCTTTCGTTCTATAGCCTTAGTCTGCGCCTCAAGACCAACTGTAGCCTGCAGCTCAGGGAGTGTAGAGTTGTACAAGTAACGGCACCATAATTAGTCTATCCGTCATGGCAACATCAAACCTGGAATGATGATCTGTTTTCCTTTCCCGAAGCTGCTTCCCCCCGCGCAAGACACGCGAGCCCGGGACCAGTTATCGCGGAGCACATGTGTTTCAACGAATTTAAGGCAGGGGCCTGAACCGTGCACTTAAGTTGTTTTTCGACTTTCAAGTATCGATGACTTGGTTACGGCCTTCTTGCCATTGCAGCGAACTACTGCTAATGTTGCATTGCATGCACAACTTGGTGCTGCCAATTCAGGCCCCTGCTTCTCCCATTCGCCCTTGCGCTGGAGCGGGTGTTCAGCCCTCCAATACATGTGATGGCTTGTGTAGGCTGGAACCTACGAAGCACACACCGACTTGCCCGAATAACTTCTGTGAAAAGCTGCAACCAGGGTGAAGCACCAGAGTTGGGGCTGTGGGTTGTGTTGGCGAGCTCGTCGATGTTGGTGCTGTTGGCTGTCTGTTTTCGGATCGTTGATTGTTGTGTTCTTTGATTTGAATGTCGTTCGAGTTGCCGAGCTCCAGATGTGCGTTCTCTGGCGAGTTGTTGCTGGCGCGCGTGAGCTTGTGCATGTCAGGAAGGTAGAAGTTGTGGTCATGCTAGGAAGTTTCTACTACTGCGATGGTGGCGACGCACGTCCGACACGCTGATCACACCGACCACCACAAGCATTCCTAGCTCTGCGGCCCTATCAGCACGGCGACGCGGAGACGCTCCCACTCCGACGGTCCGACTCCGACACCTGTATACTGTGACCACCACACCACCACCACTACGACACGACGACGACCAGTGCTACCTCTGCTACTGCTACTGATTACCTGATTGCTAATTCAGTGCGGGAAGAGTCGGGAATTGCGCACCTTGTACTTGCATACCCACGGATTCAGAAGGCGCTGCAGCATGGGCACTGGATCAAAGACACCGGAACCTAGCGCAGTGTAGTGCGAGATGCACCGTAGGAAGCCTCCGCCAGATGGCCAACATCCTGCGGAAATGGCTCCTTTGGAGTACCATCGCTGGGGTCAGCTTCCTGCTTGCAGTGTGTTTTGCAGACTGCTGATTCCTTGAATGTGCACATGATACAGACATCCCTACATGCATTCTTACATACGTGCATGCACACAGGATACAGCATAGACTGTAGACGCACGTGCACACACACACACATATATATATATATATACATAGATATGTACATGCATACACACACATGCATGAATACATACGTACATGCGTACATACATGCATTCATACACGCATTCTTGCATGCATGCAGGCAAACATGCACGCACTTCTATTTATACATAGATACCGATGATGCAAATAAGCACATACATACACGCACATATACACATGTAAACATGCACACATGTGTCTGCGTGTATATATATATATATCTCAGACACATGTGTACATATATGTATGCATTTTGCACATAGGCACTTTGATACATATAGACCATATAGACTTATGTAGTTGTGGACTTAGATTTTTACGTTTTTGTTATTTCTTGTTCCTTTATTGGAACTTTATTTCCCCAGCCTGGTGAGAGTCCACACCCCACGTGTCTCCGCAGAATCCTGGAGTGCACTCGAAGAAATTCCCTGTATCCCTCTGGTCCCCGTCCCTAGACTTTTTCACGGGTCTCAGGAGTTCCCACCCCCAGATTGTCAAGGCAGCTATTCTCCTCTCCTCCCCTCCCAGCCCGCCAAGCGCCCTTCAGTCTAGCCCACACAGTGAGCTGCTTTCTATATGTGTAAAGATTTCTACGGGTCCTTACAGTCGTTTTCACTGGCTCTAGAAGGGTAAGTGAACACACAGCTCAGGTTCCGCCCAATGTGCAGCACCAAATGTTTCCCAAGCGAATGAGCCAAGCTGCAGAGAAGGCTGCTGGGCTTCTGTGAATAAGCGGGCACGTTTCCATTATGCTAGACGTGCACACAAAAACAAACACACACACACACACAGAGAGACAAATGCAAATACGTACACACACACCCAGGTAGTGTGATTGCCGATGGTGGAGTTTGCACTCCGAGCTGCAACAATGGAACTCTGCCAATTGCTCGTGGCTTCAGCACACTGGTTTGCCAATTCGGCAGCTTCTTTCCGGCGACTCGGACCTACCCTGCCTCCTACTGTTCCTCCCTTCCTGTCTACCATATACCCAGAGATACGGTCCCCGAACCGAGTTATGAGAGCTGTAGTCGAAAGCGATGCCACGGGAATCCTGCTGATGCTCCAAGCTATGTCTCTGGAAATGCGGGAGAGTTCTCTGCAGGGCGCTCTGATTTGGGGCCTCGTAGGCCACGTGGCCCTTCGGCGTCGGATTTCGTGAGGCCGCTCCGAACGGCTTGGCTCGAACGCTACAGCAAGCCCTTTCAGGCAAGCCCCAAAACCCAAAGATTGAGCCCCAGAGGCACCAAAGCAAGGCGAAAGACGAACACCGACACCTCAACACCCCAATCCCAAGCCTGGACACCTGAACTCTTCAACCAGTTGAAAGCCAAGTGCGACTATTTTGGCAAGCTATTTCCCAAGAGCCAAGGAGACCTTCGTCTGTCGACCGGTGGAATGCAAGCATGCTCCCAGTTCCATGGCAGTGCAGTTGCTTCGGGCTCGGGTGCAGTCCAGCGGGGAGCAGAGAAGCCAAGCAGAAGGACAACGTCAGCATGCTCGCAACCACCCAAAACCCAAAACCCACACGGCTTAGCCCTCGCACAAGCTCTCAACCCCCAACACCCTGGTAAACACCTGGACCTAGACCCTGAACCCGTAAGGCAGGGTTGTAAGCTAGTCACGAGCTTCGCCCAACGTAGTTCAGGATGCTTCGCGGTCTTTGGCCCGATCATAGGCTTCGGAGTGCATGCAGCATTGTTTTGGGGTATCTTTTCAGGTATCTATGCGAGTTATACATGGGTTTGACCGGGTATCGGTTACGAGGGCCAGGGCAGTGTAACTAGCAAGGCTTCAAGGCTTTATGTTCGTGTCGGAGACCTGAGGTGGGACAAGCTCCAAAAATCAGCCCCTGTGCACGACTTGCCAAATTGCAGAAACAGACATATATTTCCGTAAGATCGACATCGAACCTGAAGACTCCCAGCGCGCGCAGATCAAGGTCTCTTCACAAGTCTCGCTGAGCAGCGAGCTCCTTTCGAGATGGTGCGCGGAGCGGTTGTGGTCTGGAACGACACGTTTCCCAAGAACCTTGGCAACTATCATCGGCTTCTAGACTACGTTCCTCGTCACTTTAGTCTGCCTCGAAACTCATAGGTGCGATTTTTTTCGGTCATTAGTTTCGAGTTGTCGGCCGTCGCCGTCGTGGTTGTGGTTGTTGTTCTCGTTGTTGCGGGTGGTGTCGGTGGTGGTGGCGCTGGTGCTGGTGCTGTTGCTGGTGCTGGTGCTGGTGCTGGTAGTAG